TCGCAGTGCAGACGTGGTTTTCAGTAGAAGCCAGGCCCATTTCAAATCACATTTTTCTACTGGGATTGCATAGGAAGCAAACTTGTATCTGCTATTCCAATCAACTGCATTACTCGTATTCATATTGAGTAGATTTATAAACTACTACGGCTCTTCTGGAAGCTGATATAAACGTGGAACTCATAGACTGACATCAGCTAATCAAATATGAAATCATCTAATAATTTTGACTTTAGACTTGCTTCGTGTAAAATTCTTTAGTAATTTTTCGCACTTCCCTTTTAGATCCAGGCTCCACATTCCTTAATGACAATCGTCTTGTTAAATCTTTCTCAGAGTCTGAGACAGAAGAAGCCATCTTGGATCCTATTAACAATGAGCCAGGTGCCAATCTTCGTCTGCTTACAAATCATCAACCAGCCCACAAAGTGCCTTTTGAGCCAATGTCTTTGCGCACCGTTCTTCAGAATACCGTGACATCTTCATCTTGCTCTTCCTCATCCTCCGTCTCCTCTTCCTCTCCCTCTTCCTCTTCGTCTGTCGATGCTTCATTGTCATCCTCCTTCTTATTACCTCTCTCGTGGCCTCCAACTCTACCACCGGCATCAACAGCCAATGTCTCCACTTCTGGTACTGCTGTTTCTTCCTCGTCTTTGTGTTTTTCTTCTTCCAACCTTGTCTCCAACTCCGTATCCACCACTCCGGCCTCCACATCTACCACTATCTGTGTCTCATCCACCTCCACTTCCTCTTCCTCATCTCCGGCCTGCTCGGACCCAATCGCCCTTATGTCGGGGGGCGAGCCTGGACTTGAGCTCTCTCAGCCCAGTCATTCCTCTTTGCTTTCAGACCAGTCGGGTGTACTGCATTTGGTGAAGCCTAGTTTGGGCGAAGAGGAAGGCCGGGAGGCGGAAGGCGAGAATGAGCATTATCTGCTACAGCATGTGCTCAGTGAGGCGGAGAACAAGAGGCCAAAATGTCCACTTTGTGGTGTTCAAGTCGACGCATCTCGTTACTTCATTCATCTCAAGGTAGGTTTCTTCATTGTAGATAGGAGGAAAAACTGGGTTTCGATGAATCCCATGTCATAAGATTGTTGGGGGGACTTTTATTTCATATGAAAGTGCATGAAGAAGAGATCCTTAGGTCGATCTCATCAGAAGAAAATTGAATGAATCCCGTTGTACTGATGTCATTTGGCTTTTATACGACGTTCAGGTTGACGCAGTCCGTAAGACATCCTTCCTCGTTTCGAGTGATAACGGACTGGGCTTTCGTCCAGAAAAATGATGTACAGCATCAGAGCTGGGATTCATTCTTGTAAGATTCACAAGTTAACACTAAGACAAGAATACTATCAGGCTCCATCTTACCTCTTATATAGATTCAATTAAGCAAAAAAAAACCTAGGTAAATATAGAGTGGTTTGGCTGATTATCTTTCATACTGGTCCTGCTATTTTTGCTCGAGTGGGTGTGCGTGTGTGTGTGTGTGTTAGTGTCTATACACAATTGTTGGGATTACTTTCATTCCGAGTAGT